ACGAACTACCCCCCGAGATCCGGACGATTCCGGATCTCCTAACCTTCCGCCGCGCCCTCAAGACATGGCTTTTTCAACAAGCGGGCCTGACCTAGGGTGAATTTTAAATAGGGATAATTTTTAATGATTTTAAATAGTCACAGCCACTAATATTTGGATTTTAATTGGTTTTTAGAAGGGGTAATTCTGTATATTGTTTGAACATGCTGTGAGCCGCCCTGAGTCCCATGGGGAGAAGGGCGGCATATAAATTTTGTAAAATAAATAAAATAATAAATAAACATGTAAAGTGCATTTCAGAAAATTTCAGAAAATTTCTTCCTTCTATTTTTTTCTCAAAATGTCTGTATATTCCGGGGAGGGGCTATGTTAAAGCCTATCTCAGGACCAGAATTAAGGACAGTCCTTGCTCTTGACAACACAACTATAGCACTCTTTTCTTAGGGAAGTGGATTTGATATTAAATCTCATTTACCTTTTTAGGATTTCTTTTATAACTCCTGCTTTATTTAGATTTTTGACACACATTTTTTAGTATGTTTGATGTTTCTTGCTTCTTTATTAATCTTTGGTTTTACTCACCATAATGGGTTGCTTCTTTGGGAGGTCGGCCTTCAGAAGAAAGGCAGCATCCTTCACGTTATCCTTTGTGAGCTCTTCTGCTATTTCATACAGCAACTGTCTGGGTGACAAGTCTAAACATGTAAGCTATTTTTTTTTTATGTAAGATTATAGTAAGATATTCATCCATAGCACTTCGCCTACCATCTCAATTTAAGATCTGAAATTTTGGACAATGAACTTTGATGGCAAATATTTAGAAAAAGAGTCTAAATAAACAAACGATTAAAATGCTTGGAACACATTCAGAAGAGAAATAATGTAGCAATCAACGTTTTTTTAGTGAAAGTTATATTATTTGGAAAACTCACCTATAACTAGATACCTTTCCTCTGTTAGGCAGTTCTTCTTGAACAATCTCTTTAGTATAACCAAGTTTCTGGAGCAGAAAGTTACACCTAATAATGTAGAGAAGCTCTGCTATGAGAAAAGTATCATCCTTATTAATTAAGTCCTCATTGATGAGAAATTGGAAAATATCCTGGGCTGATTTCACTGTTTCCAGCTTCTTTAATGAGATGAAATCAGAACAGAGAAATTTCAGGTCTTCTACATCTTCCTTCCCTAGGTTTTCATCAATTGATAGTAGCTGCTGGCGAAATACCACATTCTCATTGTCAGCCATGAAGAAATATTTTCTGAGGAGCTAAAATCTCTAAAACAGGAGGAAAAAAAAGTAACGCTAAGCATTTAGAAGTAAGGTAGTGGAAAAAGAAAAAGTCTCCCTGGAAGATAAACACTTATAAATTCTCTCCCAACCAACCAAANCAGCAAATGATCACAGATAAGGAGAACAGATAACCTATGTTACTGCTTTTGTAATGTTTCAACTGTCATGTGTCTGACTAATGAAACACTTCAAAGAACTTTCAGGCATTGTTTAACCTAAAAAGCCTTTATTAGTGTAAAGGAGTGTCAGCACGGCATGGAGAATGCCAAGATCTGAATTTCCCTTCCTTTGCACATAACATTCCAGACATTTCCCCTCCCCTATTTTGGGGTCATGATTCACATCTTCCAATTAACCTAGAGGGCAAAGTTTCACTTCCGTTCCCGCCCTCATTCTCATCTGAATTAACTCTAAAAGTACCAGTTCTGCATATTTTGTCAAAGCAAGAATATTCAATATTAGCAGCGTTGACATCAACATTACCAAAAACTAAAACATTTTTGGTTTTGCCGTGCACACATATATACACTAAAGAAATCAAATATATCAACTGTTCCATGATCAGACTTTTCCTTCTATTTCACTGAAACGTGACATTGGCATCTGTTTGGTTAAAAGGTTATTTTCAAAGGTAACCAACACAATACATAAAATCCTGACATAATTCATCTATTGTTAAAATAGCTAAACATTAAGCAGCACTGTGGATAGGAACGCCAATCCATATTAAGGCAAGAAATCAGATAAAAGAAGGCACAATTAAAAAATTGCCCATAAAACACCTATGAAATATACCCATTGTAAGGAATAAGACTCCTGCTTCTTGATCACCACGTCATTTTAGGCAGTTCCATGTATTTATTCCAGACTTAGTTTGATTTTAATACGATTAGAAATTATCAAATTTAAAGATTAAAATACTTCCAAGGCTACCTCAAAAAATGAATAAAAGTACAAATATTCAAATAATAAATTTCTAAATAAAAGTAGTCTTTAATATGGAACAGTATTAAAAATGTAATCATAAGTCTCAGTAAAATAGTAAAATAGTCAAAGTCTTATTTGACCGCCAGTTTGGTGCAGTCTTAAAAGCTCTGGATTGAAAGCCAGGAGACCATGAGTTCTAACCCTGCTAATGCACAAAGCAGGCTGGGTGACTTTGAGGTTAGAGCTTTGCATTCTAATATTCTGTGCCTTGATTTTCCCCCATTCTAAATCTTGAGTGTCTACAAACATATAGAACACAAACTACCTATCCTTCCAAGCATGGGCCTTTATAATATAATTGATGTCTGGAGGATTGTTCAAACAGATAACAAAAATCCCAAGGATAGGGCATGACCAACAAGTTCATTCCTGCATTCTCCCTCCCCAAATTCTCATTATGTGAGAAATAAACCTTTTATACATTATTGTATTGCTAATATTACCATTTTCAACTAAGACTTAAATGGGTTGATGGCAAGATGAAATTATGGATTTTGTCTTGTTTCAAAATCATGAAACCCAAATTTCTGGACTCAGCAACTGTGTTCAGATACTTACTACTAGCAGCATTCCTGTGCATGTTTACATATTAATAAACCTCACTGAGTTCAGTACAATTTTGGCCCACGTAGCCCCAGAGATTCCTCCAGGTAGGCAGGAAATGCAGAACAGTGAAGACAGCAAACTATGAGAATTAGCCCCTAAAGCTGAATGGCCAGACATAGGAAATCTTACCTTCTAGTTTGTACTTTTGAATCTTTTTTGCCAAGTCTCTCCTGTGAATAGTCAGGAAGCAATTTTCTATTAAATCCAAATGCATGGGAGATATCAGATCTAGCTTCTCCAGGTCAGTAATAATTGCCAGAAAACTCTAGAAAAATCAGACAGAACGATTGTAAAGGAGAAGCCAAAGCACTCCTGAGAAATGACAGTTATATATTAAACTTTCAGGGAATATAAAAAGATTGGCAGTACAAAGATGAAGTGAGGAAAGCTAAGGCTCAAAATGAACTAAGGCTTGCAACAAAAGTCAAAAATAACAAAAAAAAAAGCTTCTTTCAACATGTAAAAAACAAGAAAAAAGTTAAGGAAATGATTGGTCCATTAGTGGGAGAAAGTGGTAAGAAGGTGACAAGCAACAGGAAGAAAGCAAAACTAAGCTCATTTTTTGCATCCGCATACACATACACAAAGGGAATAAAGAGTCCAACCTATCAAAATCAGTACCGTAAAAAACAGATTAGAAACACAAATTAAGATAGGCAAGAAAATGGTAAGTGAGCACCTGTCCACCCTAGAAGAGTTCAAATCACCAGGACCAGATGGACTACACCTCAAGGTTCTGAAGGAATTAGCAGATGTGATCTCAGAACCACTGAACTATATCTTTCAAAGATCCTGGAGCACTGGGGAACTACCAGAGGACTGGAAAAGAGCTGAAGTAGTTCCCATCTTCAAAAAAGGGAAAAAAATGGATCCAGGATACTACAGACCTATCAGCCTGACCTCAATACCTGAGAAGATCTTGGAAAAGATAATCAAGCAATGAATCAGCGAACACCTACAGGCAAACAAAGTCATTACCAAAAGCCAACATTGGTTTGTCAAAAACAGATCATGCCAGACAAATCATGCCAGGTGACAAAATTAGTGGACCAGAGGAATGCTGTGGATTTAATTTACTTGGACTTTAGTAATGCATTTGATATAGTAAACCACAACCTACTACTTGATAAGATAGAGAAATGTGGGTTAGACAGCATCACCACCAGATGGATTCGTAGCTGGCTGACCGGCCATACTCAGCATGTGGTCCTCAATGGAACCGCATCTACATGGAGGGAAGTGTATAGTGGGGTACCCCAGGGCTCTGTTCTGGGCCCAGTGCTCTTCAACATCTTCATCAATTATTTGGATGAGGGGATAGATGGGGAACTCATCAAATTTGTAGATGACACCAAGCTGCCAGGAATAGCCAACACTCCAGAAGATAGGCTTAAGATACAGAAGAATCTTGACAGACTTGGGCGCTATCTAACAAAATAAAGTTCAATGGTGAAAAAAGTAAGGTTCTACATTTAGGCAAGAAAAACCAAATGCACAGGTATAGTATAGGTGGTACCTTGCTCAATAGTAGCAACTGTGACAGGGATCTCGAAGTCCTAGTGGACAACCACTTAAATATGAGCCAGCAGTGTGCTGCAGCTGCCAAAAAAGCCAAAACAGTGTAGACTGCATTAACAGAGGGATAGGATCATGATCACATTAATACCACTTTATAATGCCTTGGTTATATGCCTCAGGATGCTTATTAATAGACCACATTAGCTATATGATGCCCAACTGGAGGTCAACCTAGGCTTAACTGACATGACTCTTATCAGTCCTACACAGAATGTCCAATGATGAGGTATGCACTTCACTTTGCCCTTTGCCATCCATGGAAAATATTAGTGTGGGTAATATTGAATTAATTGGACCAATATTATAACAGCAGCTTCCCATAACAGTACCCTATCAGTTTTCTGTTATGCATCCTTTGTACACCATAAAATATATCCATTGCTGAGCCTCAGTTCATGTATGGATATGAATGAAGGTGTGCATATTTTGGATATCCTACTAAATTCCTACTGACAGATTATTAGTCAGTGACACCCAACCAAAACTATATTAGAAATTAGAATCAATCTAAAAACCCTGAAACAGGAAGGCATTTTTCTTTTAGAAATCCCACACAATTAGAAAAGGGAAGTAATAGAAAAGGTTACAAAAGAAATCCAGACCCAGCAACTAGCCATCACAAATGCAGATTCATACAGGAAGGGTAAGGAAGAGAATGCCCCAAGGAAACGACCATTATCCCTTTTCAAAAGGGATAAGCCCAGCCGATTTTTAAAAGTACTAAAGAAGAGGGGGGTTTTCTCCAGTCACTCTCTTTCCCCCGCCCAGCCAGATTCTGGGAATCATTTAGTCAGAAAAAACTGCAAACAACACCTTGTATAAACAATCTGCAAATGACACCTTGTATAAACAATCAAACTTACCGATCCCACCAGATAGGACAGTGATGGCAAACCTTTTAGAGACCAAGTGCCCAAACTGCAACCCAAAACCCACTTATGTATCGTCGGGTGCCGGGTGGGTGTGGCCCATTGGGTGGGCGTGGCTGCAGTGGTAACAGCAGACTGGGTGGGACTAAAAAGTTCAATCAATTCCAACTTTGCAAGATCTTTTTTTTCCTGCGACAAGTTGAAATTGATTGATTGAACCTTTTTTTTGGGTACATGGCGGTGGAGGCCTAAAGCGAAAAGGTTTTATAAAACCCAGCTGAAGGCCTAGGACTGGGGCGACGGCACGCATGCCCACAGAGAGGGCTCTGAGTGCCCCCTCTGGCACCCGTGCCATAGGTTCGCCACCACTGAGATAGGAATAATGTAACACTAAGGAGGGCAACACAAAGCACATATAGAAACCCATTAACATGAATAGAACCATCTCCTGAGGACAAGTTTAACCTCTCGCTGCCCGTACAAAACAGGCTAAGGGAAATTAAGGGAACAAATACCTTTACAAAATCCAAATCATAATCTCAATAACTCAAGGGGTATAAATGTTGGGCCAGTCTCCTTGGAAAATCACTAGCTAGTCCAAAAACCATCACTGTGCCACTACTCCGTCCGGTTTCTGCAATAAACCTGCTTTCTGGCAGCTTGCTTCATTTTGTGTCAATTCTTCTGTCTGAGCTGAAGGTCTGCTTCCTAGCTGGAAACACAAACCACGGGGAATTCTTCCTACACTACTCTACAGATTTTGATAACTCTTCTGACATACTAGTGGCTTATTACCTGAATTTCAGGTTTTTATACTAGGGTAGCTTCCCTATCCTGCAGCCTTCCAGATGACTTGAGACCAACACTCTCATAAAATAATACTAATTCTCACTTATTTGGGATGCTCCAACACATGCAATGGGCTGTAACCCAACCTTCTGTATACTCAGTTATAACTGATGAAAATTCTTAAGATGAAAACAGTCCTTGCATTAGTTATGGGGAAATAAAAAGAAGAAGGATACCACAGCAATTTTATATTATCTTTTATATATATTTATATTATAAAATAGTTCAAGGATAAACTAACTTTGGTTTGGGTTTCAATTGCTTACTCACTCCCTTGAACAAACAGTGTAGACAACTGTGATTTCTGATACCCACGGTGATCTCAATGATCAAAGCTGCATGACTGGTATATTTATTTTTTATTTTAAAAGATTTGTATTAATTAAATTCCTATAGCCGCCAATCATAGTTATAATCTAATACTACATCACTATTCTTCTCCCAAAATCATATGTCAGTTTATGGAAATGGAAGTGATTTTTACAATTCTGATGTTATGCATATCATACAACAGAGCATTTCCAAGAGAAGCAATTCTTACAAACAGAAACCAATGGAAATAAACTAATATAGAGGGGTATGTTTTTCAAAAGAAACAATGCTCTTCAACTTAGCTCACCTGTATTTTGACAACATCTGAGGGTGCGTGGCCAAACTGGCTTCCACGGCTGCTCTTCCAGTCCCCAGGAACTTCTTTAACAAATCAAATCTTTTCAGCCTGTATAACAGTTCAGATAAGTTGATGGTGGTCAGCTTCTCCTTTTCATTCAAAGCTGTTAAGAGTTGTAGGCCACCAGGTGTAGATACGTCAGACATGAGATCACTGCACAAGAACCCCATGATTTCCTTTTCATCTGTATCCAGTTCCTGTACAAACTGGTATAGGAGGGATGCTGGGACACTGCAAAATATCCTCACAGGCCACTACCCCTTTATAGTTCTCTGTGTGTATTTTAAACAAGAAAAACCACGTCATGAGGCTTGCTTCTAAATGCAGAATCTGCCTTCCTTGTTGATCTTCAATATCCCAGCTTTGTTTTATGCCTTTTATATATCAAAAGACTATTGACAAGAAGAGAAGACCTAGACAAACCCAAATTATCTTAATCACACACAATGATTAAAGTTCACTGCTGGCACTCATTCTGCCATCTCATCTGCTGCTACATTTGTTCGGGCTGGGAACAGTATGAACTTTTTCAAATGAAGTGATGCTTAGGATGAATCAAAAGGGAATGTCCAGTTTTCAAGAAAGCTCCCACTATCACATAATTTCGAATGGTCCAGAGGAACTGAAACTAAAATTAAATAAAAGGTACTGTCAGGATCCAGATATATTTCCTTTCTATCTATCTCCTCTAATCTAAAACCAATTATTACTATTTCCTGGGTCGCAAGCCCCAATATAACAGCACACGAGCCACCGATTCTAAACCACTTATGGCGGAATCACAACTGGCAGCGCCAGTAACTACCAGAGCCCAAGCTAAATTAAAACCACAGCTGGGTAGCCAAACCGGAATTGAATTCCGGAAAACTTTGAAAACAGATGAATGGTTCCAGAAAAATAGACACGTGTGACAATCAAGGACGGACTGCCTTGGGTGGGGGAAAAGTTATACAAACCAATCACCCAAAGGGTCACATTCATGCAGCTTTGCCATGACACAAAATTAGCAGGGCATTTTGGATTTGTAAAAACATTGCACTTAATTAAAAGGTAATTTTGGTGGCCATCCATGAAAAAGGACATAGAAAGTTATGTGGCCAGCTGCCCAACATGCACAACTGCAAAGAGGTTGCAAGGGAAATTGCCCGGACTATTACAAACAGTGGCAAATCCCTCAGCCCCCTGGAGAGAAATAGCCATGGATTTTATAGTGGAACTACCAGAAAGCAATGGAAACACTGTCATCTGGACGGTTACGGACTTGTTTTTCAAACAGGTGCACTTTATCCCTTGCCAAAAGATCCCCACCACAAAAGCCTTGGCGAAACTTTTCATGCAGCACATTTACCGATTGCATGGGGCACCCCAACACATCATATCTGATAGGGGAGTGCAATTTACGTCAGCATTTTGGAAGGAATTTTTATCCCTCTTAGGAACCACTCAGGGACTGTCATCTAGTCATCATCCTCAAGGGAACGGTCAGTCAGAACCTTGTAACTCAGTACTTGAGCAATATTTAAGATGCTTTCTTAATTCCCTTCATTTGTAACTTTGCCAATTAAGTCATTTTTTTCTAGTTTACATTCTGTTTTCTGATTTGTTTGTTCATTCTTTACCATCATTCTTTGGATGTTTTTTGATTGTAAATTTAAGTTAGAAGTGTATTCATTTATGTTATCAAAGTTGTGTTTAATTTCCTCGTGGTTTAAAGCTATTGTGATTTGTATCTGTTATAGCTTTGCATAAATTTCCTCTTGGAAAGTATTTGTCTTATCTTGGAATATTGCTTCTAGAGCTCTTTGATCTTTCAGGCTGAGTCCTTTAGGAGAAGATATTAAGTGTGGTTTTCTATCATTTTTTGATGAATATGTCATATCCATGTTGTCTCCCCCTTTCAATTGTCAACCAGTCAGAATTGCAGTTCAATATATTTAGCCACCTTAAATCCTTTCTGTAACTTCCCCTGTCAAAGATTAGTCATAGATCAAAGTTTTTCTTTTTCTGTAAACAATTCATAAATTTAGATCACAATCAAAGTATTTCTTTTCCTTCAGACAGTTTCCAATCTTATAGCTGGCCCAGTATACAATTTCTTCTTTGTTCCCTAGCAACTATCTTCTTAAAGATTATTAGAGTTCATGGGAACAGATTTTTCTTTGTTTCTGGGTGTTGTCTTTAATGTGCTATGTTCTAATTGTCCACTAGATGTCAGCAAATATTTGTTTTCCAGCCCTTTCAGACAAGAAATTATTTTTATTATTTTTCTTTTTTTTATAATTTCATCAAAATTCTTTAGAATATAATTTTAGCAGTTTGTTTTAATTTCTAAATTTGATCAGATTGCAGTATTTTAAATTTAATTTCAATATGTTTCTTTCCTCCTTAAAGGTTAATTCGCCACTTCTGTCTATGGGGGAATGAGAATATAGTTCCCTCCCCTCACTTTCGGAGGTTTTCTTGCTTTGGGGACCTTTCCCAGGAAATTAGTTGCAAAATAAAGGAGAGAAGATTAAATACTCTCACCAATTCCAACCACACTGTTCACCGTTGTTCTGGCTAGTGCTCTTGAACTTCGACTGCAGATAGCTTAGGCTAGACCCTGGCATGCGGCTAGCCTTTCTCCTGTTGGGTCAGAGGGCTTCCCCGGATCAAAATGGAACAACCGCCACTGTTCCATGATCAATAGGGTGGCCCTCTTCCTTTGCCGCCTCTCCGGGGCGATTTCAGATCCATGGCAGGACGAAAACAGCTGCGGGATGCGGAGCTTCGCAAACCCATGGCCATGTACTATGGCGCAAAAACCGGAAGTCTGGAAAATACATGTTTTGCATACAAACAGGCTATCTGAGCAATCTTTGGGCATTTCCACAGAGAACTAGAAGTGTCATCTGAAGTTCTGGGGAACTGACATTGTGAACATTACTGAAAAGAATGGGCTGACTTAGTTCTTACGCAGCAACTTCGTCTGTTCCTAACTTCATTGCAACCTTCATACATATGAATCAATTGCCAAGTGTCTAAATTTTGATCAGGTGACGATGAGGATGCTACAATGGTTGTCAGTGTGAAAAATGGTCATAACTCACTTTTTTCAGTGCTGGTGTAACTTCGAATAGTCATTAAATGAACTGATGTAAGTTAAGGAGTACCTGTACTGTAACTGCCCCTGCTTATAACTGATTGCCTTTCTACTGTTATATAGAGGGAGGGTTATTGTATAAGAATTAACTTTTTTAATTGTAACAGCACAGATACTTGTTCATATGGTACGTGTATGCCTCTAGCAGCCACACAGATACTTCTTACACAGAAACACTACAGAAGAACACAAATACACACATTCCCCTCCTTCCTTCTAGCAGAAACAGGAACAGAGAATCTATCAGACTGGAGATAGTGTTCTGAGCAGCTCAGAAGGCAAGAGAGGGCAATCAGGAAGACATAATTAAACAGGAAAGGAAGGAAGGAAGGAAGGAAGGAAGGAAGGAAGGAAGGAAGGAAGGAAGGAAGGAAGGAAGGAAGGAAGGAAAAAAATCAGTCCTTATATGAGTTTAAAAAATCACCAAATATCCACTTGCCAAGAGCTTCTCAACAGAATGCCCACGAGTAGTTTCCACCTGCTGATCATTTATTTACATCATCTTCTATGCCAGTGGTTCTCAACCTGTGGGTCGGGACCCCATTTGGGGTCGATTGACCATTTCACGGGGGTCACCAAGCAAGGCTGTCCGCCATTTTTTTTGTCCGCCATTTTTTTCCCTTTTCCGGTGGGTGCCTTACCTCCCTTGGGCTGGGCCAGCTGGTGGTCGGCCTGCTCCGTCTCTGCTGCTTGCCAGCTACACCTCGGCCGGCGCAGGGGGCGGAACCACACATGTGCGGCGCTCCCAGGCAGGGAAAGTCCTCGACTTACGACCGGTTGGGTAGTCCTCGACTTACGACCGGTTTAGACCTCGACTTACGACCGGTTTAGTCCTCGACTTACGACCGGTTGGGGGTCGTGGCATTAAAAAGGTTGAGAACCACTGTTCTATGCCTTTTCTTATCAAATGTAAGGTCAACTACTTGGGGGTGAAGGAAGTGAGAGAATATGGTCTCTAACCTTGGTATTTTCAAACTAAAAATTTCTAGCCGTTTCCATTATTCAAACTACTCCACATTCAATACATCATTTTGCTTCAGCCCAGTCTTGTAACTAACTAAAATCCACCACTTAGCCCAAAATTTCCATTGCTAAGCAAGTCAGTTGTTTGCCCAATTTTATGACTTTTTTGCCAACAATCGCTTAGGTTAAGTTAGTAACATGCTTGTTAAGTGAATCTGGCTTCCGCATTGTCTTTGCTTGTCAGAAAGCCGCAACAGGTCATCACACCATGTCAGGCATGGCAACCATCATAAATACATGCCAGTTGTCAAGCACCTGCATTCTGGTCACAAGACTATGAGGATGCTGCTATGGTCGTTAAGTGTAAAAAACAGTCATAAGTCACTTTTTCCAATGCCATTGTATCTTCCAACGGTCACTAAGCGAATGGTTGTAACTTGAGGACTACCTGTAGTTTCTTTTCATTCTCATACAGGCTGACAGACAATGGTTTGGGTCAGGTCACTGAAGGATTAGTTAGAGCAGAAGCACATCAGATCAGGATTTTACAAATTTACAATAGCAATGTCATGGTTCTGATAGATGAAACCAATTAAAAGATCTTCAAGGCAAAAAATTCTTCCTTAAAGAACATTTTATTCAGGAAACAAAGTGTCTGCACTTACATAGTTGAACCCAAGACTAAAGTTCCCTCCCCCCTGCAACAAAGTAACAAGTTGCAAGAAACCCAGAAAGGCTGTCATAAATCATTCACCAATTATTCTAAAACAGGGGCACTCCTCCCAACTTTTCAACCTGCCAAAACTTTTTCTAACACTGACCTTGATTCTCACACAGTTGCAATTGTTATGACTAACTAAAATAGCTCAAGCATTCCCACTTCCCCCATTCTCTATCTGAAAATGCCAAACAACAGAAAAAAACATAATGAAAGCAAAAGGTAAAATGGCTATGGTTTTTCAGTTGTCATAGTGCTGATAAGCAATTTAAATCACTAAGACATAACTAGACAATTGTTTTAGACAAATTCTTTATGATCTCTGAATAAAAGGACATATATACCTCATTAAATATTACCTCTGTAAAATTCCACAGTACTTCATCAATCAAGCAATCATTTATTTTTATTCCACTTTTTATCATTTTTAC